TTCAAGAATTATCAAGTGCTAGGAGGCAGTAATTTTCCCAGAAAATACAGTCAGCTGGGAAGAGATGAGAGGAGTCTTGGAACTTTGGAACCTGAACCTGGATTCCAGTATCAGGTAAAACTTGCAAACCTCCTGCTTCTGCCTCCCAAGAAGGTATATACCACCATATCTGCTTGGCTCTTCTTTTTGGCTTTGTGAATGGGAGGGAGAGAGAGAAGAAAAAGGGGAGGAAAAGAGAGAGGGAGGGAGGGAGAGAAGGAAAGAAAGAGGAAAAAGGGAGGGAAGGGGAAGAGGAGAAGGAGGGGGAGGGGGAGGGAAAGGGAGAGAGAAGGAGAGAGAGGGTGAGGGAGAGAGAGAATATTAGGAATGGAACTTAGGTCTCTGTGAATGTGTGACAAGAGCTCCATCAGTGAATTATATCCTCAGACCCTTATGGAGGATTGATACTCTTGTGGGAAATTTGCACCCTGAACACTGAAGTTTGTCTAGTTCAAATCTAGGTAGCTGGTTTCAGAAGACATATTACCTTAAATCCTTTTATGGATGTAAAACAGAAGTTAATATTATCATCATTACCAAAGAGAAGTAAATTTTTAAAAACTTAAAACTTAGTGTTACTTGGTATTTATTTACACTTTAAGCCATCAATACTTTTCATTAGTGAAAATGAGTATTTGTGGTTTATGTACTACTGATTATTACTACTATATTTAAATATGATGTCAGACTTTTAAGTTGATCCATCATTTCCAAATTGACCTGTATTAGATGAGAATTTAAGATCACTCTATACAGGTGAGGCACTGTTTGAGGCAGGTCCTCTTCACTGTACACCACCACAAATAGTAAACTGGTGTCCAGCAAGCTTCCAAGCATCCTGTCCCAGCCTCCTACGTCACCCTAGAAGCCTGACATCACAGATGTGAGTGAACTACCATGCCAACTTCACCTGGGCTTTTTGAGTCCCAAATCAGGTCCTCAGACTTGCATGGCAAGTTCTGTACCCACAGAACCATCTCCTCAGCCCCATATTTGGTCTAATTTTAATAATATAAGTACTCAAGTTTGAAGCTATAAAATAAAATAAATTTGTGCTGACTAGTTTTATGTCAACTTGACACAACTTAAACTCATCTGAGAGAAAGAAACATCAATTAAAAAAAAAATGCCTGCCAGGCAGTGGTGGCACACACCTTTAATCCCAGCACTTGGGAGGCAGAGGCAGGCGGATTTCTGAGTTCGAAGCCAGCCTGGTCTACAGAGTGAGTTCCAGGACAGCCAGGGCAACACAGAGAAACCCCATCCCAAAAAACCAAAAGACCAAAAAAAAGAAAAGAAAAAAGAAAAAAAAATGGCTTTTTAAAAAATCAGGCATTAAAGAAGGCTGGAGATCATTCTCTTTTCTTTTTGTAAGAATAATTTATTTTTATTTTATCTGTATTGGTGTTTTGCCTGAATGTATGTCTGTGTGAGAGTGTCAGATCTTGGGAGTTAGAGACAGATGTGAACTGACATGTGGTTGCTGGGAATTGAACCTGGGTTCTCTGAAAGACCAGTCAGTGCTTTTAACTGTTGAGCCATCTCTGAAGCCCCAGAGCATTTTCTTAATTAAAGGGGAAGGGCATAGCCCATTGTGGGTGGGTCCAGTTCTGGACTGGTGGTTCTGAGTTCTACAAGACAGGAAGCTGAGCAAGCTAGTAAGTAGCACTCTTCCACGGCCTCTGCATCAGCTCCTGCCTCCAAGTTCCACTCTGTTTGAGTTCCTACCTTGGCTTCCCTCAATGGACTGTGATTCAGGACCTGTAAGCCAAATAAACCCATTCCTCCCCAAGTTGATCACTGTGTTTCATAACAGCAATAGTAACCCTAACTAAGACAAAATTGTGTAGCATTACTTATAATCAATGTGCTTCAAATATAGTTATTTAAGAGGTCCCATGAAAATTAAACTCTATATTCCCAAGAAAACTGACTTTTATTTTTGGAATGAGAACATTCATTCATTCAAAATATCTTCTCCAACAAACAAATGCCAAGCATTGTACCATCTAGCAGAAATACAATGCATAGCAGGATTGGCCACAGCAATCCAGCTAAAATTAGACAAGGAGATGAGAAGCTATTTGAAGGAAATATAGACTAACATATCAGATTTCTTGAAAAGGTATCAAAAAGCATGCAGAGACATAAAAGGATTGTACAGGACTGAAGAGATGGCTCAGTGGTTAAGAGCACTGACTGCTCTTCCAGAGGACCCAGGCTCAATTCCCAGCAACCACATGATGGCTCACAACCATCTGCAATGGGATCTGATGTCCTCTTCTGGTGTGTCTGAAGACAGCAACTGTACTCACATACATAAAATACATAAATAAATCTTTAAAAAAAAAAAAAAGGAAAAGGATTGCACAAAGAAAACATTAAGAGGTTATCAAAACAATCTCAGTGAATGGAAGCCTGCAGGTAAGAATATCAGAGGGATTAGAGAAACATGAACTTGCTTGACATTAGGAATTCTATTAAAATCAACTGGACCTCCCTAGTTATCTGATGTGACAATGGGGGGGGGGGGGGGGGAGTAGAAAATGAGGAAGCAGCTTGCTAAGGTGGCAAGAACCAGAAAACTTCAAAGCCCATGATATCCACACAGAAGCATCTAGTAGGAAGTAAGATGTTCATAAAAGAAATTGGGTAGAAATAAGACTCAGCAGAAAATGGGATCTGAGTACAGATTTTCAAATCAGATTTATACTGTTTGTATTTTTAAAGTGGGGGGGGGTCCTATGAGTGGATACGTTTATCTGCGGAATTCATGAACGAAAGAAAAGCCTAGGTCAGAACTCAAGGCCACTCCGATTCTAGGTCAAAGGCTGTTGCATATTAACCTTTAGACTATCATTCACACATACGGGTCACAAAATAACTCCCTTGTAGAAGGTGTCAAACTGAGGGAGCATTATTATTTATGGCCTAACTACATGTCAACTGTCTCTTCATACATACTTTAATTATTGCTCATAGTAACCCTGGAAGACAAATGTCCACACTATAAGGAAATAACCTTAAAACAAACATGCCATATCACAAAGGCATGGCAACCCAAAGCCAAACTGTAATCCCAGAATTTCAGTGATTTTGCCTAAACTTAATAACTTAGTGTCTAAAAGAGTCTACTATTAAATTTTTTAATTATTCCTTAGAATTAACTTTAATTCATACAAATTTCAAATGAAAACAATAATCTAACGTACTTTACTTTTACATCTCTATTTTTATTATATGAATATTTTGCCTGCATGTATGTCTGTTCACCACATGTGTGCCTGATTCCTGTGGATGTCAGAAGAGGGTATCAGATCCCCTAAAACAAATTACAGACAAGCAGTTATAAGCTGCTGTATGGGTAACAGGAATTGAACCCAAGACCTCTGTAAGAGCAGCCAGTGCTCTTAACTGCTACACCACCTCTCCAACCCCTAGTATTATCCAACTTATTTTATAGTTAAAGAAATTAATGAATTTAAAGATTAAGAAACTTTACTAAAAGATAACATCTCATTTCCCTAAAGTTGCATATTAGCTAATAATTTGCAAAAATCAAAACTGAGTTACCTTTATATCTGATACTGATAGGAGGGCAATCACTTTGAGTTGTTTGTTCTAATAAAGACGTACAAAGCAAATTAACTCTATTCTGTCCCTCAGCTAGCCTCCATTCCTAACCAGTGACATATTAAAAGCAAAGAGGTAACAAAGAATATACCTGTGATCATGAACTAGTCCTGTGAAGACAATGACAGATTCAAAAGGATCCATTACATTTGACTTACTTTTTGTGAAAATGTTGCAGTCACCAGTGAATCACACAAGATATATATTGTTGACAATATTATATGTTTTAAAAAATGTATCGAGCCGGGCGGTGGTGGCGCATGCCTTTAATCACAGCACTTGGGAGGCAGAGGCAGGCAGATTTCTGAGTTCGAGGCCAGCCTGGTCTACAGAGTGAGTTCCAGGACAGACAGAGAAACCCTGTCTCAAAAAACCAACCAAAAAAAAAAAAAAGAAGTATCAACAAGCTAATATGTACTTTTAAAAAAGGTTTCCAAATACTTCATACTAAGACATAATTTTAAAAATTAGTATGGCTACAATATTAACTTTATAGTTCCAATATGGTCATCAACAAGAGGACAGCCCTTGGGTTAGGGAGCTGGCTTAATAGGTAAAAGCGCTTGCCATGAAAGAAAGAAGCCGAGTTCAATCCCCAGCATCTATGTAGAAAACTCAACTGGCTATGGTGGTACATGCTTGGAATCCAAGAAGAAACAGGTGGAACCCATTCTGGAGGATGGCTGGCAACTGGTCTAACTGGCAAACTCAGTTTCCAGTGAATGAACCTGTCTCAAAAAGTAGACCTCCTCTGAGGAACTACAATCCAAGGATGGCCTCTGGCCACTACACATATATGCACACATGCACATGTGCATACACATACACAAAAAAAAAAATGGTCCCTAACAAAATAACTTTTCATATACTTCCTTTTTTTATACTTTTTTTATACTTCCTTGACCTTTCTTAGTAAACAGATTTACTGTATATATATGTGCACACCACCATGTGGGCCCTGGGGAACAAACTCAAGTCCTGAGGCTTGGTGGCAAGCATCTGTACCAGCTGAGCCATCTTGCTAGACCCTTCTTTGAATTTAAAACAATACAGGCTCTCTCATACATGAACACACTCAAACTTTTTATTATTAATTTTTAGTTATATTACACACAGTTTCTAATATTTCCACCAATTACAATTAGGCAACATCAATGAAATAGGTAAAATTCTCTGAGTTACATTTCATACGCAGTCCGTACTGCCATACGTGAGATTCCAAAATAAAGTTTCAAAGACATTTTTTTTCCTGAAGAAACAAACCTCTTTCACAATGCCCTGCAAAGAAACAATGTCTTAAAATTAGTTCCCCACATATAGTACCATACCTAAGGATCCCTTGGGCTGTTGGCTGTTTGGTGGTATGTTCTCCTTAGCCATAGAGATTAATATTTTACTGTTTTCAGAGAGTTTCTCTGATGCCTTTCCCTGGAAAAGATATGATATTTACAAATCAAAGGGGAGAACTCCACAAAATGTACAATTCAACTTATTTGACATACTAAATAACTTAGAAAAAAATTACATAGCACAGAGATTGAAATGTAAAGTTTGAGAAATTAACCAAAATTACTTACATACTGTAACAACTGTTCTGATACCTAACTCATCCTCTTAAAAATGAGTCTCTATTAAGTGCATTGGGCCAGACTCTAGAAACTAAGAGTGGAAAAAAAAAATTGAGAAGCTTCTGCTATTGGGCCAGGGGGTCGGGGGGAAGGCACAGAGATACAAAACAAATGTAGTTCTTAGTTATGTAATGTTGTGCTTACATGTAATATTTATATACGCATGATATGTAAAAAGTGAGAAAATGAGAATTTGGCTCAGTCAGTGACGAGCCCTCTGTGCAAGTCTGAGGACCTGAGTCTGTATTCCCCACACCCATGTAAAAGCCAGGCCCAGAGTCATGGTCTGTAACCCAAGCTCTGAGGGATCAGAGACAGACAGATCTTGAAGTTCATCAGCCAGACAGCACAGCAAATTCTAGAAACTCCAGGTTGAATGAAAGGCCTCCATCTCATCTCAAAAAGAAGGCAGCAGCAATCAAGGAAGACATCTAATGTGGACATCAGTCTTCCTTCCATACACACTCAAACCACATGCATGTGTGGACACACCCATATAAACATATACAATACTCAGACACTCACACAGACAGACACAGACGCAGACACACAGACACACACACACACATAGGGAGGGGCTATAAAGACAAGATAAAGCAAGATTGAAAGACCCAGAGATGCTGGGGGTTGGGGGGGTCCACAAGACCTCAACAAGTAGAGTCTCTTGAACTGGTACATAAAGATTTAATAAAGCTGTACAGTAATATGCTCAAACATGCACACTCACCCTCTGTATCAATTAAGTGTGAGCATATCCTGACACCAGATAAGGAGAGTAATTTAAATCCATCCCTGTGTCTACTTGAACAAATCATTTAACTCCTTTGGCCTCATTTTCTTGATCTCCAGAACAAAATAAAAAACAAAATAGCCCTACTTCATAAAGATGTCCTTAACTATAGAAAATACTACACACAAAGCTCTTGCTTTAACTCCTTTTACAAAGCAGACTGTTTGGAAGGAAGACAACCACGGCCAGTACTTAAAAGCACAAGCACTTAATCAATGTCAGGAATCAAAGCCTATTCCACCAACTCGGCACTCAATCTCATTATTCAGCTTCCCAATGCCTAAGTTTATTTGCATGGAAAATTATAGTAAGAGACACTTACTTTAAATACTGCACTGAAATACGTACCTTTTAAAGCTGTCCCCTACCCATATGAGTACTATTATATGTCAACTTATATAATAAAATGTCAGAATGTCATGATTATCATCTTAATTTGGTTGTCTGTTTAGGACAGATGCTAAACCAACTGAGACAATGATGAGTCAGCAAGCCATTTTATATGGATAAGCTCATGACAACCTATGGCACAGACGGGCTTGTTAACACACACTGAGCCAGTGAGAGATGGCATCTGTCTGCATTAGTACAGCATTCCCAGAGTCCAGCGTGGCTCCTAGCACAATCTCAGTATCTGCTAAATAGAACACCTCTTATGTTGAAATAAAAACAATTTAAGAAAACATTCCAGACATTGCTTTTCAGAAACAACTATGATAACATACTTGTTCTTTAAAAAGCAAATAGTACAGAATAAATCCCCCTAGTAAATTTACTAATATGTGTCTTAAACATTATTCATTTAATACTACTTTTCACATAAAAATCTGAGGTTTAACCATTGTCTTCTATTCAGCTTGTTAAACACATAATCAAGTATTAGAACTCTAACAGAATATTGTGAGATATAAAATCCCACCAAAAAAATACACTCAAAATCTCTCACCTGACACCTACAGTCAGTCTCTCAGAAACAGAACAATTGTGTCCCAATCAAACTCAAGTATGAAACAAAATCCAAAGTGGTGTAATCCTCAGAAACAGTCTCAATAAAACATGTTCGGTTGGGTTTTTTTTTTTTTCATTGTTGGTTGGGTTTTGGGGCAGAGGACTGGTTTTGTTTGTTTATTTGCTTTTGAGGCAGGGTGTCACTGTGTAGCTCTGACTAGCCTAGAATTCTTGCTATATAGATTAGGCTGACCTCAAACTACAGCAATCTGAAGGCCTTTGTCTCCCAAATGCTGGGACTAAAGGAGTACACCACTAAATCCAATTTAATGAAACACGTTGAAAGACAACTACTAATCTTGCCTTCATCTCCATGTAAGGTGGATCACTTTCCAATTCTGCTTTGTCTTTGGCCAGTTTCACCTTTTGCTCTTCAATAAATTCATCCAAGCTATCTGCCATTTTGTAGATTCTGGGGGAAAAAAAAAGTCTTCAGTGAGCACAACTATATTGTAGTGGTTTTAGCTAGTATTAAGACAAGGTCTTAGTCCACATTTAGTATTTAATCTCAATTATCATATTGTGGACTTCATATTTAAACATGAACATAAATACCATCTGTCTCTTCTTCTTCAATTTCCCAGAACTGGCTACAATGCAGATTAAAGGACAGAAAAAGAAATGTGATCAAAGTACTGTATATGAATGCATGGAAACTTCACAATGAAACAATCTATACAATTATATGATAACTAAAAAAAGGTAGTAACAAATGAGATCAGCAGCCACTACCACAATCCATAGTTACACAAAGAACAAAAGGAAATAAAAAGCTTAAATCTTTAAAATATTTTTCTCTAAAAAACTATTTGAAATTAATTGTGAGCAAGACAGTGGTGGTGCACACCTCTTTAATCCTAGCACTCAGAGGCAGAAGCAGGCAGATCTCTGAGTTCAAGGCCAGCCTGGTCTACAATGTTAGTTCCAGGGTAGGTAGACTTCACAGAGAAACCCTGTCTCAAAAAATAAAAAAATAAAATTAAAAAATAAAAAATAAAACAAAAAAAAACAAGAAAAACAAAAACAGTACTATGTATGGTTAAGATATTAATAAAGAATAATATTATAACCATTTTTAGATAGCCTAAAACTGAGTAGCTGAGCTTGATCTAAACAAGGATTTACCAGTTAGTAAGGGCACATATGTACATAAAAAATAGGCATAGGGTAACATTTGCCTTATTCAAATAGTAAAAATTACATGCTGGCTATAGACTTAACATGGTAATGAGACACTGCTGGAAAAACCAATCATGATGAAGGCTGGAAGTGGTAGTACTCACCCAGCATTTAAATCTTAGCACTTGGAGGCAGAGGCAAGCATATCTCTGTAAGTTCAGCCAGGTAGCCTGTTCTACACAGTGATCCAGGTTAACCAAGGATACACAGTAAGGCTCTCCCAATCTCCGAAAAACAACAAAGAAAAACAATGAGTCATGAGCAGAAGAGCCCATGGGCAACCTAACTCCATCTCTAATGTGACGAGAACAGGAAGTGCAGAACCTTGCAGATGCTAAAAAGCTGTGTATCTTTTTCCTGGCATTAGTATCAGTTTAAGAGTTTGCCCACAGGCTGCATCCCTTGTGTTTAACTACAAAAACAAGCCTTGTTCTGAGATACTATGTCTCTGTCCAACTCTCCTGACAGGGTTAAGAACCCACAGGGTCAACAACACACAGGAGTTTTTCCCTTACAGTCACTCCTCCCCTGAACTCAGAGAACTAACATGTCTTATCTATTGTTATAACTGTCTAAGTTGGAAGTTTCACATAAACAGACCATATATAAGCTACACAGGAGAGTAAGTTTCCTAGTCAGTTCAAGATTGGTTTCTCTATGTTCTGCAAGCCAAGTATACAGTGTCCCCAGCAATAGAGTGTTGCCATCTAGTTGTGGTTGGCAACCAAGGAAAAAGACAGTAACTGTGCATTCTGGGAAACTTCCAGAACCTTCATGAGCAGGAACTCATGGGTATACTCATGTCTAGCACTGAGATTTTCAGTTAATAATTTATGTCTATGAGAACACAACAGGCTACCTACCCTCTTAAGGAACCTCCTATCCAAACTCCTTTTTCTAAAAAGTTCCACTTTGTAAATAGCTCAGAAGATGTTATGCAGACCACTAGGAGCAGGGTGGCCATCAACGGTCCTACCCAGCACTAGACCCTGATAGGCAAGATATGCACACTATGGCAATTAGTAGCAAGACTGTTATGAAAGGATAACCAACCACTTTCTGCTTGGATCTGAGGCCTGTTGAACAGAGTGAATCAATGCCTAGTATTGTAAAGCTGGTCAAGAGGCCATGGCTAAGGAAAGTCAAAGGCCCTAGGAGGGAACATACTATGGTTCTTATGCTAAACAGATATGCTGTCAAACTGCCTGCCAAATATGTACGTTCATACCCAAAAATCTGTGTGGCTATGTACTTTAGTGAGAGATGCTTCTTTCTCTGCAGGGGACTGTGGCTACATATCCACAACTGATCAGTGCTGAGAATATGTGACTGTGAGTGTGTGAACCCAAAAGGAACATCTATGTTCATACACCCAAGACTCGGGGCATCTTGGAAAAGGGGTGAGACAATCTAGGAGCTGGAGGATGGGAAGAGCCTGCTGAGCTGCTGAATTCTGGGTAGGACACAGCTGCTGCTCTCGTGACCACACAACAGCTGCAGTTACCTACACAAGACCTGTGTGCTTCAGTGTATATTTCTTACAACTTTGAAAAGATTACTTTCTTCACCAAAACCAATTTTGTTGTTGTTCTTGTTTTTAAGAAAGGATCTCACTATGTAGTCTTGACTAGCCTGAAATTCCCTATGTAGATCAGGCTGGCCTTCCACTCAAAGATACCCACCTATCTCTGCAGCCAGTGCTGAGATTAATGGTTTGCACCATAATACTGGGCAGAAACTGAAATGTTTCTAGTTTCTTTTAAAAAAGCAAATTCTTCTAAAAACTTATCAAATTCAGTAACAAAATATGTGACAAGAAGGAGTTACTAATCACTAACACAAGGCCTAGAGATACAAAACCCTAAAAAAACAAATCCCAGAAAGCTCTCTGGTTTGAAAAAGTTTAGTTCACACACATTAAGTTGAAGCTAGTAAGACATGCTAACAGAAATTTCCAAAGATGGTTAAAATTCAAGAATCAAATTTGAACCACATCAAAGATGTTTACTTAAGAGTTAAAGTGTTTTCAACAGATATAAATGATAAACACTTGCCATTCCAGCTACTCTCTACTAAGGACTGAGGCAAGCTGAAAGATCCCAAGTTTAAAGCATTAAATCTTCAATATATTCCATCAGATACAAGGACAAACAGAGTAAATGAACACAGGTAGGGATAATCCACAAGTAAATGATCAGCAATGTTCACTTGAATGAAAGAGGAAAAACTGAAGGCGGATAAAAATGTCAAGAATTCCCTCCTAACAGTAACTTAGCACCAATTACTACAACTTCTGAAATTCACTTTCGGTAATAGTAACTACAATAAAGTATATATTAACCAATGACCTTTTTCCTAGTAGTAACTGCACTGATGTATGGATGCATCAAGGACACACACCAATGGCAACCCAAGTTTCTTACAAAGAGGGTGCTAGGAAAGAACTCTATGACTGGAGCTTCAGCTGGGCAACTTGAAAAAAAGTGTAAGAGAATTCTGCCATCAGGAAGTGGGAAAAATTCTATGACTGGACATCTTAATAAACCTTAACTACAGTATGAGGTTAAAATGACACTGGTCATTCCAACCTGGAGGATCTGTTTCTGCATGCTGTGGTTTTGCTGTTATGCACATAAACAGATTCTCTGATGCTGCTACTCTGTACAACTTTTTATTACCAACAGGACACAAAGGCATAAACAATAAAACACTTGTAGCTATCATGGCTGCTTTTCTGTGTTTCTAAAATGTGTAACAATTTACATAAGAGCAATTCTTTTTTTTTTTTAAATATTTATTTATTTTACTTATGAGTACACTGTAGCTGTCTTCAGACACACCAGAAGAGGGAATCAAATCTCATTACAGATGGTTGTGAGCCATCATGTGGTTGCTGGGATTTGAACTCAGGACCTCTGGAAGAGCAGTCAGTGCTCTTAACCACTGAGCCATCTCTCCAGCCCACATAAGAGCATTTCAACCATAAAATTATGTATAAGTTATTTAGTGGATAATGGAAGCTGGACTGATGGGCAAGACCAAGAAACAGAATACACTAAGAATGTTTACAACTTAAGGATTAAATTGCCCCATCCAAAATCTGCTGAAAAAAAAAGCTAAATGAGATTCTGCATTGTCTAGACACTCTATAAAATGTACATTTTCCATGATATTATTATCAGGTAATTTTCTCTAGTAGCTACATAGTATGTAGATGAGAAATAGTTTTCAAGAAAACAGTTTCTTCTGTTGTGAATTCTGTTTAGCTCTATACCCCATTTTTGATTGGGTTGTTTGGCTTTTTTGGAGGTTAGCTTCTTGAGTCCTTTATATATTTTAGATATTGGCCCACTATTGGATGTGGGGTTAGTGAAGATTTTTTTCACAATCTGTAGGTTGTCACTTTGTCCTATTTACTGTGTCTTTTGCCTTATAGAAGCTTTCCAGTTTCATGAGGTCCCATTTATCAGTTCTTGATCTTAGAGCCTGAGGCACTGGCATTCTGTTTAGGAAATTTCCCCTGTATCATGTGTTCAAGGCTCTTGACCTTCTATTAGATTCAGTGTATCTGGTTTTATGTTAAGGTCCTTGATCCACTTAAGACTTGAGCTTTGTGAAAGGTGACAAATATGGATCTAGTTTCATTTTGCTACATGCAAACTGCCATTTAGAGCAGCACCCTTTATTGAAGACGCTTTCTTTTTTCCATTGTATATTTTTGGATTCTTTGTCAAAGATCAAATGTCCATAAGTGTGTGGGTTTATTTCTGAGTCTTCAATTCTACTCCATTGATCAACATGTATTTCTCTGCACCAATACCATGCAGTTTTTAATCACTATTGCTCTACAGTATAGCTTGAGATCCGGGATGGTGATTCCCCTAAAAGTTCTTTTATTGTTAAAAATTGTTTTCACTATCCTGGGTTTTTTGTTTTTCCATATAAAATTAAGAATTGCTCTTTCCAGATCTGTGAAGAATGGCCAAGAAGCACTTAAAGAAATGTTCAAAGTCCTTAGTCATCAAGGAAATGGAAATCAAAATGATTCTGAGATTCCACCTTATACCAATCAGAATGGCTAAGATCAAAAACTAAGGTAGTAGCACATGTTGTCAAGGATGTGGAGAAAGAGGAACACTCCTCCACTGCTGGTGGGACTGCAAGCTGGTACAACCACTCTGGAAATCAATCTGGAGATTCCTCAGGAAATTGGACATAGATCTACCTGAAGAC